GCTTCTGGGCTTCTGAAAAATATAAATTCAGTTTAGATACTTGATTGCTTTACCATTTGGAAGGAAACCAAAAAGAAAAAGGCCTGCAAACAGTGGACTTACGTAATGTAATTCGTTTCCGATGAAATAAAGCCGAATCAGCTTCCCCACATATACTATTATGCGTTTTCACCTGATGCAGACGGAATGCATTCTTGTTCGCAAATGTCCGCGAACAAGTTTCGCAAAATGCTACAGAGGACACTCGTCTTAACTCATCTTCTGTCATCCGGATTTCCATGCAAACTGATGCAGGTTGCTCAGAACTATCAGTGTGCATAACTGGAAGAGTCTCGCTTATTAACGAATTTTGTTCATTGTGCATATTCATTCCTTCAACATCAGGAAATTCTGGTTAAAGCCAGACCAACTGAGAGGTGGAAATCTAATTAAAATAACTGGCAAGCAATTTATTACCATCTTTATTTGAAAAGCAATTTTCGCTCACAATACAACTTCGTGACAGTTTAATACAAGCATACACGCACATCAAACACAGACTGCAGAAAAAAATCTCGATGAGCATTAGACAGCAAGATATAACTTGAGTATAACAATTAAATTTATTAACTTCTGACATAAATACAACAGCTTTTAAAATAGGAAACATCAGACTCCGTTCCCACTTCTACAAGCTCTAACTAAACACTGTTACATATATACAGGAAGGTATTGATAATTTCTCGAAATGATGGTCTTTTTCGGTAATCTTGCACAACACATTTTAATCCAGTTTGTAAAATAAGACTGAAGTAACCGGCGTCTAAATCTGAAACACACTTACAAATAAAAAACAAAAACAAATTTCAAACATTTTCCATCTATAAATAAACATTTACGAATTGACATTGCAGAATAATAAATTCAATTCGGAAAATAAATTTTTGTGAAAAATTAACCGCTGGTAAAATTGCACTGGTAATCAGCCAAAATCTTTTCGTTCTTTCCAGATTTTTGATGATCCATAACATATTCTACGATATTTTGTGGACACCGTTTCATAACATGAGGCTTTAATCCTGTGGAAACTTCTAATGAAACTACACCATAACCGTATACATCGAGTTTCGTACTAATTACTCTCCTGAAGTAATAAACATCATGCGCGTGCCACAGCATTAATAAATATATCAACTTCTACTATTTGGCTTTCGCCATAATAAAATACTTCGAAGAAGGATGCATGAAGACTTTCATAAAAGATGCTCTAATTACTAAGTATTATAAATAACTAACTCCGTCAGAAATTCTTGCGGCAGATATGCCAATGTTCCCTTTACGTGAGAGGCGGTAACGAAATCATCATCTCTCCAATTATCCTGATTTATACATTTCTTGTATTTAATGAGATTCTTTACCATCATAATAAATGATTTTTCATAGTTCAATACCAAATTCTCAACCAACTATAAAAACACCATTTCGAAATTTCTATATCATTTATCAAAAAAAAAAAAAAATAAATAAATAAATCGGTATACACTAACTTTTGAAAAGTTATCTCGGCACAAACCAAAATCACCTAATTTTGGTTCAAAATGTTTGTCGAGTAAGATGTTTGCTGATTTAACATCTCCGTGAATTATCGGATTCTTTGCAACAGAATGCAGGTAATGTAGAGCACGAGCACAACCTATCATTATTGATAAACGTTGCAACCAGGTAAGAACCACGGATTCCTGCGAAATTACATAACAATAAACTTTGGTTTTTGTTTGAAAATTACACAAAAAACTGTCCTCTATAATAACTTATCATCTAAATTGTAATATATATTCATCAATCATGGAAGTACTAATCTGAGTGTTCTTTATATACGAGCGATTGGAAGTACTTAAGTTGACCCTTTCAAACCATACGAAATAATTTTAATCAAAAGGAAACAATGGCGAAGGAATGAAAATCTTTCCATCATACTTATCAAGCACCGTACAAAACTATAAAACATAAGAACTAAAAACCAGAAAATCTTACTTTTCTAAAAAGGCAATCAAACAATGAACCATTTCTCATGTACTGATAAAGCAGACAAGGTTGAGGACCATCAAGTGAATACGCATAAAGTGGCAGAATGTTGTCATGTCGATATTTCGACAACATTCTTAGTTCTTGTAAACTCTGACGAATTTGTTCTTTCTGAAGAACCTAATTCTGGGTTTCTACAACTTCAACAAAACTAAATTATTAAAAAAATCGAAAAATGATACGTTTCATATAAAACTAGAAGTAACCTCATGTCCACACTCCTTCACAGCCTGTATACGCTTCACTGCAACCTAAAATATGCCGTGTAAACTCCCAAAGAGCCAAATAATGATTACACTTAGCTTTGATTGTAAAGCTAAAATCTATTGTTGCATTTTCTTCTTTTATGTCATAAATGCCAAGAATATAATGCTAACCTCTGTTTTTTCCCACGTTCCTCTATAAACCGTTCCGTAACCTCCACTACCAAGAATGTTTTCCAACGAAAAATTGTTGGTAATTCTCACAATGTCATTATACTTAATGCACGGCGTATTTTGGAGAGTTTTATATATTACATGTGAATCGGCAAAAGTACTGAAATAAGTCGGACATCGCAGGACTGTAAATCCACATAGATTCTGTTATGTTCAAAACAAATATTTAAATTTAAGAAACAGTTACTCAGTCTCTTGGTATAACCATCTCATATTATTTGAACATTTTACCGAAGGCGTCTCTTTGTAGCACGGTGTTGTGATATCGCCATTCTATAACATACCAAAATTCAACAGATTATTTAAAGTTTCGTTGCCTTCCAGAAAAATTTAAAGAACAAAATTATGAAATACTTGTCGTAACACATTGTCCTAACATACTTTGGCTGAACAGCGAGAGCGAGAGATTATTGCTTTATCGCTTTTTTGACTGTTTTCATCTGCAGATTGCAAGCACTGTTCTTCCCAACAATAAAATAACGGATTTACTGAAAAAAAAAAATAGTTTGTTAAATATCAATTTGAGGTTGGCAAGTTTTGTTTCTTGTACTCATATCGATGGGTACTGATCAAAACTCATCAAAAAAGTCAATATTAGAAAAGTAAAAATTTTGAAACTTAAAAGTTATGTAAGTCAGGTCAGGCATAAATTATTTAACTTCATGCTTAAATCACGTGTGCTACAACCAGAATCTTGTCAAACTCTGTGGTCTCTGACAGTAGAAAAAGAAATTGGTCAGGAAAAACAGACCTAGATGACGCACTGCTTTCATCGCACGAACAAGTTTTGCTCGACCAAGGCAATTGTAAAGCTGAATTACCTTGTTTCCTTTTGAACCCCATATTGCCAGAAGATTCTCTGTCGGACTTTCAAAAGATCCTACATCTCGACAAGCCCGTATATCTGCGTTCTCAATGTCCGGCATTACAAACGCTAAAAAACATATAACTGGACAAAAGAAGCGAAAAGAAGAATCTGTTTCTTAATAAACACGACTTTGTATTTTACAGCTATGCAAGTCGTGACCCTGAAGTTGTCATTCAGATTTACTGAAATTCTTTTTCTCTGAAATATAAAAGTGATCATAATAACAAACCTAGCAGTTCCCACGCGTTATCAGTATCCAAAATGGCAGCCAACTGCTTTCGGACGGTGAATGGTAACAGATAAACATACATACCACCTCTGGATAATACCCCGATCACGTCCAATTCAGTGCGCTCCAAAGCGCCACCATCTTCAAGTCTGAATATTGTCCTTAACGAATTTTAGAGGCGCATTCGAATTACATGGGCGATATGAAAATTTAGTTTTTCAGGCATAAACATGCGAACTATTAATTAATTAACCCTTTGATTTCAATCACTTTGGATATGCAAATAATAGATATGATAAGGAGTGGTTTTCTTCGTTTATTCCTTATCAACTTTCTGCTGATTAGTATTCATTGTTCATCTGTTCTTACCCTACGGAGAAAAGCAGGATAGAGCAGATTTGGTATATTTATCTCGAATATAAATATCAATACAAAGCATCAGTTTTTTTAAATAATAAGAATACAACTTTGATGAGTAATCTCAGTTGTCCGTCAGTTTCTATTTAATATGCAAAGTTTCTGGTGGCTGATGAAGGTTGAAATGATCAATATTAAAAATTATACCAGATCATTAAGTACTCAAAATGACTTCTAACAAGGGAAAGGGTTGCTATGGGAACAACTAAACACTTTTCTGCATTTCAACTACCTCGTAACCTATGCGACCGATATTACAGTGGATTGATAAAGTGTCCGAAGATGATAGCGAAACAGGGTTTGTTATGATCTTTTTATCCATTTATTTATTTGTTTTTCGGCCAGTTTTAAGCTGTTTTTCTTAGTGTACAAGTATAATTAAATGACATTGCGGATTTGCACATTGAAAACGGTCGTTCCAGACTTCAAGACAAGAATTTGTAGCATTCCATTCTCCATCTCTCCTAATTTTGGGAACGACCAACTAAAGATCGTGGTTATAATTGATAGTTAATTGTAATAGTGTTTCCTTTTCGATTTTGTATAATCTAAAGGACCATGTTATTTCTGCTTTCTACAGCGAAGTAATCACAAAAACGCGGTTCACTGCAGAATAGTAGGATAGAGTAATTGAAAATAGTCATTAGCAGTGAGCAATTTACGTACGATAAGCTCATCAACGTTACTCAGGGCTGGACAAAAATGAGGACTGAAATTTTTTTCGTCACCATTTTTGCACCATTTACCACACTTATCAGTTCTCAAAATGCTAAGCAAATATTATTTCGCAAAAATAAAGTAAGACACTGTTAATTCATTCCTTTGAAACTTTGGTGTCACAGGTTAGCTTCAATTGATAAAATGCAACTACTTATATTTGAGTAATTATTTGATGTCATGCCAACATTATGGTGGCAATATTTATTCCTTCTCAGCTGCTGCACCAAACATGATCTAGATAACGCAGGATGTGAGTTTTTTTGCATTATTTACCGAAGCGTAGGAAATTAGGTTTTCGGTCTTGACGGCTGAATCCTTCGTTATACTCTGGAGTGGATTGGAAAGAGCTGTTTTTTCCGAATCGCAGAAAATTTGGGTCTCCCACTTCAGTGCGTTTTCCGAATCGAAGGAAATTCGGTTCAGCAGATTTGCCAAATCTTAAGAAATTTGGGTCTGTTACGCGACCTGAAAAGGTACTTTTTGTCATTTCCAAATATTTCTCTAATACGTTTTGAAAAGTAAATTTAATATGGGACATCAAAAATACGATAGAATCCGGCGCTATTAGTACAACTGGTCTCAAACTAAGGTATATGTAGGAATGGTTTAAGATATATGTAGAAATAGAACAACATATAGGAATGGATTGGTTAAGTACCAAAATTTGATTCTATCTTTGGATCTATTTTTACCAAGATGAAGAAAATTTGGTTCAGCTGCCCTTCCAAATCGAAGAAAATTTTGTCCGCTAGGTGTAAATGCACTTGATGAATGTCCAAATTGTAAAAATTTCGGGTCAACATCTTTTTTTCCGTGCATTGCTGGTGGTGCTGAAATACGAAATAGTACTTCGTATAAGAAGTAATAAATAAGAAATTGTACTTTGCTGTGAAATAAATTCCAGACTACTTAGGTATTGAATACCTCTTTTATTTCTTTTTCGTTTTTCTTAAATGATGGCTTTGACGCTAATTTATAAAGAAACGAAAACGTAAAACTCAATATCTAGAAAATGCGTTCCGAACATCTGACTGAATGTCGAAAGGTAAGAATTTGGAAATAGGCTTGTTGGAATGCTAAACATGTCTCGGGAAGTTACAGTGAAGTCTTTTTTGGAGTTTACTGTTGCATGAGATAGTTTGGAATAAATTAGATAGATATACCAGTTCTGCCAAATCGAATGAAATTTGGTTTTCTTTTTTCAATTTTTCTAGTTGCTTCATCAACATCTTGACAATCGTGCCGAAAATATTGCCTTATTTCAGCTTGCTGTGAACTCGAAAGCATGTTGAAGATAATACAATAATCTGATGTGATTCCATTTCTGCAGCATTCACTTGATACCTTAAAATTTCATAAATTAGCTTACTTTCTAGCCATCTGAAACTTTCTCTTTTTTTCTAGCTTTCTTCCGTATTCTTAAAATCAAAGCTTAAAGTTTAAGTCCATCAACATCAACACCACTGACATATGGTATCAAAAATTGCAGTAGAGGAAATGCAAATTTTCGAACATGTGATATGTATAATGTAACGTGAGTGTAAGCTAATCGCTAGAATGATAAGGGGAATATGGGCAAAAGAAAGAAGATAAAAATGATTTCGAATAAGCATGAACGTTGTTCTTGAAAACAGTAACACTGGAACTAGATAAGAAAAGAAGAAATTGTTACTGTGGAATTTTCAACTTGGGATTTATTTAAGAATTATGAGATCTACATTGTCCCATTGCTTACTTGCTTGTTTTTCTCATTGTCTCAAATAATTTAAAGGTCTAATGAAGGCAACCACTGAATTGATTTTTCAATGCATTATTTCACTTTTAAAATTTCGAAGTGATATGGCAACACTCCCTTTGTGGAATTGAGATAATTTGTTCTATATTTATGCACCTTTCAGGAAGGGTAGGCAATGTTCTCCTTACTTTATTTTTGATTGAAATTATGAATAACAATCTGTCCTTAAGAGGCGTATTAGTGTAACAGGTAGTATTGATGGGCTATTGATAATGGAATGAAATGATAAGAGTGTATCGTGTTGTGCAGTAATTGTAATCTGTGTCAGAAATAAATAAATCAGGAAATAGCTTTGCTAACTGATGCTAATTCCTTGAGGAACGATTCTTTTGAAGAAATCCGATGTGAAGAAAGTATATAAAAAAGCAGCAGATTGTGGATATGTGGATATTAATGAAGAGAAAGTAAACTACCTGTGTTAAGCTGCATATCAGAAGAATAGCATGGATTAGGACCATAACTGAATATTGCTGTTTCTTGCTTTTTCATATTTATATGCGAAGCGTTGATAATAAAATTAAGTGCGGTCCTGAAATGCCACATGTGCCCCCGGTTTATGTGTTCTTCTTTGTACATTGTTGTTTGCAATGATAACCTCGTATCATATATATATATATATATATATATATATATATATATATATATATATATATATATATATATATTATTCATCTTTATTGTGCAGTCTGATAATTTATAACCAGTGAAATGTCAGTATTTTAAATTATGCTAACACTTATCTTTTACGAAGTTACAACGAGATGAGCAATAAACTTATGAATCAATTAACAAAACTCATTAAAAATATGCTTTAAAGAGCATGAAAATAAAAATGAGTGAAAGAATAATTCGCCAAAATCCTCCATTATTTGACTTTGAGTGCTTCATACTTTTCTAACTACCATATTTCTTGCTTTTTATAAATTGATGGAGGTCTGTTTTTCTACGGATGATTTTGTTAAGTACATTTCAGGTGCTGCGTTTATGATCTGGCTTTTAAACCAGATGGATCGGAATTACTCGTTGCAGCTGATATGAAAGTTTTGATTTATGACGGTTCTGATGGAACATTATTGCAGTCTTTGAAAGGTTCAGTTCCTTTTGAAATTTAGTCCAATTAAAGCAAAACTACTAGAAAATGAAGGCTTTGCTTTGTCTACAGGCCATAAAGATCTCGTGTATGCTGTTGCATTTTCATACAACGGCGAAAATTTTGCATCCGGTTCTGCTGATCGTTGCGTTATTATATGGACAGAGCAGCATGAAGGAACGCTTAAGTACATGTATCTTTTTTTTTTCAAAAATCCATTTATGGCTTAATATTCATTTATTTACTTTATATTCGTTGTAGATAAAGTAAAAGCGTAACTCAACTGAACACAATGAAGTGATGTATAAGATTTGTTTCTCTTATTACATTGAACTGGTAATTAACTCCAATTATGCATCACTTATGCATCAGTAATTAAATAGTTGTATTGTATTTAAATGTCAGCCCAGTTTTAAAATATTGAAGAAATTGAATTTAAATTCTTCGTGTTTCAAAACTTTTAGTTTCTTACACAGCATTTCAGTACAGCGACATAACCTCAGCGACAGAAATGTTTTCGTTGATAATTTATAATGCAGATATAGATAACAGGAATTTAAAATCTGAATTTGAAGACCTTTCATTCTTATCAAATAAGCCATTTTTAGACACAACGAAGCAATACAATGTCTTGCTTTTAGTCCAGCAACATGCTTTTTGCTTAGCTGTGCAATCAGTGATTTCGGTAATCCCTTGAATTTAACCGTTGTTTAATATGATGAATGACTGCCTATTCTTAATTGTTGCGCAACTGTAAAAAACTAATATGACAGTGATAAATACAGCCACTTTATATTCCTTCCAAATGAAATTTGGACTGAGCAGAAGCTTCAGAAATTGGATTTAGAAAGCTTTATGCTTGCATACATATATAAAGACTTTGTCCTTAATTAGTTCATGAGTTCAACTAAAGAAGTATCTCCAGGAATATGGACTCAACTGGAAAAAAGTGTTAGTAAACAACGAACATCAAGTAGGTGTCTTTGCTGCGCATGGAGCTGCGATGGTCAACTTTATGCCATTGGAATGTTCGACGGCACTGTATCTCTACGTTCCGCTGCGGTTCATTGCACTTTCATTCTTTCCTTTTTCGATTCTGGCGGACATGAAAATAAGGCTGTTTGTTCTCTAATTCGAATTTCTCCTGAGCTTCCCCTCTTATGCATTTGTGCCCAAAGCACAGAAGGTTTAATAGTACACAGTATTAATTGCGCGCGAAGTTGATAGGAAGAAACACAAAAATTCATTCTACGACAAAAGTTTAAAGTAGCACAGCAAAATAGTTTTTCTTATTCTGTTTTAAGATTTTATCCTTCAGAATAATGCAGAAATAAAAAAGATTGAACGATCCTCTGGTGAACCTGTTTGGGCGATTGCTTTTGGAGCAGCTCGAAGCACTGTGTAAGTTCTTTTAAAACTTTTTTCTTTGCATATCTTCTTTAAAAATAGCTCAAAAATAAAAAGCTATGGAGATTTTGTGCTATAAAAGAAGAGTGTATTATAGAGATGTTTTATGGCAACGTGATTCCAATATTCAGAAAAGGTGAGTTGTTTGTTTTTCCTTCCGTTTTTACTTTATTGTCGCCAGAAAATCAATAGAAATATGGCTTTTGAAAGCTTTTCATTTTAAATACACTTAAGATAATTGTTTACTCCCGAAAAGGGATTTACAAACATAAAATGTTGTTATTATTTTCAGTACTTTTGGCGAGCTCTTAGTATTGGTAGATTGGGGGCAAAGAGCTGGATTTTACGATTTAGAAGGGAACCAGGTTGGAAATATTGTCAGCGCGAACTGTTTTGTACTTTTTTGATGATGATTCCGTTTTTCGTATGCTACCATTGTATTTTTCAAAGCCTTTGTTTTAAAACTGAAATCCAAATTCAAAAAAAAAAGTGCTGTTAAATGGTTGCAGCTTATCCGAGAAGACAAAAAACTTGGTTATGACCCGACTGCAGTAGAATTTTTTAACTATGGTCAATTCCTAATAATTTGCGGCTCTAATCGTCAGGTCACCCTTTACAGTCGTGAAGGTTTGTACAAAGCTGTGTGCATTTCCATTAAACTTTAATGACATTTCATTTTACGTTGAGAAATGATATAAATATTTATTTTTGATTTTCGCACTAGTGTAATTTTCACTATTGTCATGCATAAAATCGGTAACTGCTGTAGGAACAACGTTGGGTACAGTTGCACAGATGGATACATGGGTGTGGACCGTAAAAGCTAGACCGAATACAAACGCAATTGTTGGTTAGTCCTAATCATTTCATATATATGATATATATGATGAAGCAGGATATCGATTGCAATACAAAAGTGGCTACTTGCAGTCGGTTGCGTGGACGGCACTTTGGCATGCTACCAGTTGATGTTTAGCACAGTTCACGGATTGCATAAAGTGAGTTACCTATGATATTTACTTTGAGCACTCTATGATCATTCGATTAAAAATTCCACTGTGCCATATTGTTGCTGCCTGTATGCACTGATAATCATAGATGTTTTAGGAGCGATATGCTTATCGCGAAAATATGACCGAAGTAGTTGTGCAACATCTTGCAAATCAAACATCCATCAGAATTTACTGTAATGACTTAATTCGAAAAATCGCTGTATACTATAATCGACTAGCAGTAGGTTTTAATTTTTATGTCAAAGGTATCAGAAATCTGATCATTTCTTATAAGGTTTTAATAGATAAGGGGTAAGGAAAGGTTCAACTACACCAATTGAAAAAATGACATTTTTGGACCAGTATTTTACCAAATATATACCGATGAAAGTTAGTTTTAGGTGCAGCTCACCGATCGTGTTGAAATTTATCGCCTTATCACAGAACGTGATGATGGGCAATTGGAATATAGATTGGTTGAGGAAATAAACCGTGCTTTCGAATGTTCATTGCTTGTAAGTGTCATGAAATCCTTTTGTGTCACAGTGAAGTTTGAGAGATTGAATTTTTCTATGACTTGTCCACTTGTATTTTATGCCAGTTTGCAAAGATAAATTTCTTACATATAGGTGATTTGCGCGCATCATATAATAGTTTGCCAGGAACGACGCTTGCAGTGTTACGATAATAGAGGACTTAAACAACGAGAATGGCTTCTTGAATCATTAATACGTTATATAAAGGTCATTGGTGGACCACCGGGACGTGAAGCCATATTAGTCGGACTGAGGAATGGAACCGTAAATTTTTGTTAAACAAAATCATCTTTGCGAGTTTTATCGAATAAATTGCAAAAATTTGCCACATTTGTCTAAATTATTTAGAAATTCTTTTATCTTCTAAAAAATGAAAGTTTAGGTGTGTAAAATTTTTGTGGATAATCCGTTCATAACAGAAATACTACGTTTAAAAAGTGCTGTCAGATGTCTTGATATCAGCCATTTGAGGTATGTATCTTCTTAATTATAGCAATGCTAGTCAACGTTTTTTAGTTATTCAATGTCCTGTCATATTTTTTGGGTTTTTTTTCTTTTTTTCTTTGAAAGCATTCAAGAGAAGAACTCGCCTTGCAATGATGCAGCTTGTAATTTTTAGGGGGAAAATTGCAATCGTTGACGAAACCGGAATTTGTACGATTTTTGATATCAAAACTAAACAGCTTTTATTCCAGGTTTGGTGTAAAGGTTTTTAGTAATTGGATTTTATCATTCGCAGCATGAGAAACTGGTGAGTTTTTATAGGAGCCATCATGTAACAGTGTTGCCTGGAATGCCGATCAAGAGAATCTTTTATGTTACGCTGGTGGTGGCGCACTGTGTATTAAAGCTGACAGTTTCTCTTCGCATCAACAGAGGATGCAAGTATGATCTTCAAAAAAAGGAAAAAAAAAGAAGAAAAATTTAGTTTCTTAGTTGCACCGTTTATTGTTAGAGGATTTGCTCTTTTTTTATCTTTTATCCATAGAAAATATTTGGTTGAAGACAACGAATTTTTTAGGGCTTTGTAGTTGGATTCTCGGGAAAGCGTGTCTTTTGCTTGCATATGTTTACCATGATTGCAGTAGAAGTGCCTTTGTCTAATCAGTTATATCAATATCTCGAACAGAAAATGTACAAGTAAGGCTTTCCTCTAAAGTTTGTGTTTACTTATCAGAGATAATTTTGTTGTTTTTATTACCTCTATAGAGAAGCATTCGATTTGGCATCATTGGGTGTAACGGAAAGTGACTGGGAAGTTCTTGGTCATGATGCTTTACATAACTTCCAATTTGATATCGCTCAAAAAGCTTTCCACAGGATTAAAGATGCACGTTATCTTCAACTGATCTGGGAAATCAGGGTATGGAATCAAAATTTCTTATCTGTCCATTTATTCTGGCATACGAAATTATGTTTCATATTTTGATTTGCAAAATTGCTTTGGTTGGATTTTAGAACATGATTAAAAAAGAGACGAAAAAAGAACTGATGCTGGGATATATAAAGGCTTATGAAGGCAGATATCGCGAAGCAGCGACATTGTTCAAAAAAAGCGGATGTGAACAAGAAACATTGGAAATGTTTACAGATTTGCGCATGTTTGATCAAGCTCAGGTTAAAAAATAAATCGATGTCTCGGAGTCTACATAGTCTCACTTTCTTTTTCGTTTTCTAAGATATTTTAATGAATATGAGGCAGCTATGGCTTTTTAATATATTTATTTCACTTAGTTTCATTATCTTACTTTTCGATGTATACGAGAAGTTATATCCTTTTTTCTACACTGGAATATTTCAATCTAGGAATTGTTATCCTCTGCCTCTGGAGAAACTCAAAAAGCTCTATTACGAAAGCGTGCTGATTGGGCACAGAATTCCAATGAACCCATAATCGCAGCCGAAATGTTTATGGCTTCAGGTGATTATGAGAGAGCTGTTAATCTTATGATCAAAAACGATTGGATTGACATGTAAGCCTTTTATTCGTATATTTGGGAGATGAAAATTTATTAAATTATTTTTTTTTTCTTGTTCTTCTACATAATTTGTATTCAGAATGTAAGCAAGTGTTTCTTAGGTTGATCAATCTTGCGCATCGTATTGACCGGAGCAATGTTGATGTATTACGAATAATTGGAAATTATTTGGCAAAAAAAGAAGAATACACTCTTGCTTCCCAGTTATTCCAATCAATCAATGATATCCATGCCTTAATAAACATGTACGTCGATGCGGAGCTATGGAATGACGTGAGTTTTTATTTGAGATCTATAAATCGTTTAAATGTGCTAATTTTCTAATCCTACATCATTTCTTTCAATTTCATATCTTAAAAAAATACGATCTCAAAAATGAGTTCATTTTTCAGGCATTTTTAGTAGCATCAAAGTTCCAGAAATATAATGAAGAAATTTATCTTCCTTACGCACGTTGGTTAGCTGAAAATGATCATTTTGACGAAGCTCAAAAAGGTCTGCACGTGAAAGTTTTGTAATGTTATTATTTAATATTGAACTTATTCTTCTCATCTGCATAGAAAGTAATATGAGCATGTTTTCCAGCTTATCACATGGCTGGGCATGATATGGAAGCATTGCAAGTTTTGGAGCAACTAGTAGGGAATGCTATTAGGGAGAATCGTTTTATTGATGCTGGATATTATAATTGGATGCTAAGCATGCAATATTTGGAACGATACAGTGAAAATCCTGAATTAAATGAAAAATTTCTGGATTATAGTAATAGAGCGAATTGCTACTATGCTTTCGATATCATTCATAAATATCTGGTAGTAATTATTAGCATGAATTTATAATTATCAAGTTATTGAGTTTGAGCTGTTGTTTAATCTTTGCCTCTATTGGTATAGTTCTTCCAGCAATAAGTATTTCTTTTTAATTATTTTAGGACTGAAAAACATTCTGAAAATTGAGTTAGTAATCTTGAATCGTAACATTTTATATTGACAGTGATTTTCTGACTTTATTCTCTCAATGGATTTAATTAAAAATATTGTTTTCTTTATTGGAATCTTTGTGAATTTGTTTTTTGCCATTTGTGCTCATAAGGAAATATTTTATAGGCTGAACCTTTTACGAGCTGCCCAGCCGATGCTTTAATTAATGCTGCTCGTTATTTGGCTTTTCAAAAGGAAATTTACAAGATATCACGAGTGTAAATTCCTTTGCTAATTTGTTTTGAGAGTAAAACTGGTAGGAATGTTTTTTTTTTTTTTTTTTTTAAGACTTAGGCGTAGTGTGCGATCAGCTGTGACGATTTTTTGCTGCTATCTTAACGAAACTTATGTTGTGTGTGTGTGTGTGTGTATGTGTATGTGTATCACAGTTTTCCAGCTGTTTTTAACTTATGGTCGAACCGATGTTGCTCCACAGGTAGTTTTATTCTCTATTTCTTTATTGGAAATGTATTATGAAAAAGCTCCGAAAAATAATTCTGTGTGCTATAATCCGTATACTTATGAAATCAAAATAATAGAACTTCTACACCACATTGCAATTAGAAAATTATATATGCAATAGCAGTAATATTTAAATGACGCAATAAACATCGGAATAAAACAATACTTCCAGGAACATACTATACACTTTAATGAAGCAAAGTCAAGCACTGGGTGCTTACAAATTAGCACGATATGCTTTAGAACAGCTCAGCTATTTAAAAACTCCACGCCGTTTTGAAAAGCTTATTGAAACAGACGCTTTAATAATTAGATCAAAACCCTTTACGGATGCAGAAGAATTGCTGCCAATGTGCTATAGGTGGGTGCTGAAAAAGTTCACTAGCATTGCTGTCCTTATTTACTTATATGATAGCAACTCTCAAGTGTACAACTAAACAAATTTTAAAGTGTAATTGCAAAAATACTTATGTAATATCAACCAAATTTCTTTTAGATGTGGTATCTCTAATCCTCTCGTTGGCACAAATGAATGCATACATTGCAAAACTCCGTTTATTTTATCGTTTGTGTCATTTGGTAGGTATTTGAGAATAATCCCGCTATACTCCTAAGTACTGGCATAATTTGAGGAAAAGTGAAAAGAGTTTGAGGCCTTTAAGATTTTGCTTCACATCTCATGTTATATTAACTCTTCAAGCAGTAGAAAGTTTTCCTTACATCTTCTATGCAGGAAGAAACTTTACGATAGAAATGGAACTCTACAAGTTTAGCAAAATTCCAAAGTATATAAATAACTCATCTTTTGTCGCATTCTGCAAAGTCATTAACTATATCCATCAATTTTTATTGACAATATTTATTAAAAGTAATTTTTGCAGAGGTTTTACCCCTTGTGGAATTTTTTATCAGCGATGATATAAATTTAAAAGAAGCTCGACAGCTGATTAGTGTTGAACCTCCTCTTGGTCAAAATAAAAATCCATTGCAGGAACAGGTTGGTTCAAAAAAAAAAAATCTTTCACTAATTTGAACATGCATCGATTGAAATAAATGACAAAGTGGTTGGTGTCGTGAATCACTTGGGAGGCTTATGCTCGGTCTTGTCTAACTTTTTGCACAGTCAGCAAGGGCTTAGTTTTCGAGTTCGCGGGTAGTTTCAATATTTGCTTTTATTTCGATGTAACTTTTTTCACTACCAGCTGAAATAAAAATATATGCAGATGAACCTAAAAACTGGCAAAGTTGTGGCAGATCGTGAAACTCTGCTCAAATTGGAAAAGCAACAGGTTATAATTGCTGAGTGGCCGGCACCATTTGTTACTCGTTTTTATTACAATATAATACCAGAAATTTCAATAACTCAGTGCACTTCTTGTTACCGTGTTTGTTCTTTTATTCATCTATCTATCTATCTATATATATATAAATTTTTTCTCATTGGTTCCTAACCTATCTTTATTATACATATGCTTGTCAACAGAAATCATCTCCAAAATGTTACCACTTACATTTGATCTAAAATTACCGCATATAGCAAATAAAGAAAATTGTTACTTTCGCAAACAACAAACATCGAAAGTTAATTGAACATCCTTAAACATCATTTTTAGGGATAATATGATTGCTTTAGGTTCTTTTTTCCAGATGTTCCATGCGGACGACTTCGAAATGGCATACCTGAAAACTGGTGCGTGCCCATTCTGTCATGTGGTTCCACACAGAACAAATTATAACTTTATTGACGACAATAATGTGGAATAAACCTACTTCACATGGTCATGAAAGATGGTATTGCTCAAAGAATATATGAATCAAAGAGTTTTTCTTATCAAACAAATTTTATTTAAGACACATATCTGCAATATTGTGTTTTTAAGGATGGTAATTACAGCAAATTAAATGATCGCTAAACAAAGTCTTTAACACCAAGAAATAGAGTTGTGGGTATAACATTATGCACACATTACTTTACTTCATTCACCACGCTGTAAATTTTTCCATTTAGAACTGGAGCTGTACAGGAATAGTATATGGATAAACCACCATTACTAGGTGGTGGTCAAAAAAATTAAGTAGTAAATGGTTAAGAATCGTAATAGAAACAGATTCTCAATGTTAAGATCGGAATTTCCCATATAATACATCATGATTCGAAAACCCTTAAATAAGCCGTGAGTTCGGATTTTAACAATGCGAGTATCTATTCATTCATTGCCCATTTCTTCGTTCTTCATGATTGTATTAACCAATAACATTATGAAAGATGCCCAAATTCAGCGGTTAATGTCAGTCATCAGGTCAATTTAAACTTATAAAACTAACTGAATTTCATAGAATATACCTTCAGGCTGGTGATGGTTTCCACGTTCAGTTTTTGTATGTCTAGTTGAAAGAATAAAATAGACAATGGCTAGTTCACTTGATTTATATTTTTTCAAAACTGTTCATTTCTCCATTTTATATTTAAGCAGATTTCTTACAAAATGTTCCTGTTCCCACCAAAGATTTGCTCACAGAAGTATCTTTTCCAATTTAACAATATACAGTAAGAAATAATTTATTATGGAATTAACATTTTCAACCTCTTAAGTACATCAACGCCTTGTGTATAAGTATATATATACTTATACTCTTCCAGAAGTTTTATTTTACATTGTACATTCCAAATTACAACCAGAACAAAAAAATGGACAGATTGAGGGCACAATAATATGTTCTAGTGCAGTTCATACTGCATAACAAAAATCCATATCTATCAGGAATAGTGTTTGCATCTCAAGTTCGTCGTCTGATTCAATAAAATATTTGTAGTTTAGAAGTTCTCTTGATCTGGCCGTTAGTCGTTTAGACCGCCCGACTTTGCAACGCAATCTAGTGAATGACAAATTCAATTTAAATTCGTTTATTTCTCAAAAGTGGATGAACCTGCCATCGAAACTTGCACTTATAAACTGTGATCTGTGGTCATATTTGGTTTCTTTCTACCTTAGAGATTGTTAACAAGTGAGGGAGAGAAAAATGAAAGCTTTATTAGGAAATGCTTCCCCAAAGATTTTTGAGTCTTGCTTGGCATTTTTGTCTTCAAAAAAAAGAAACATTATCAGTGTTATCAAATCGACTTGAGCACATGGTGTCACAGTTGATCTTATCTAAGTGAAGTCATGTGCAATCATTAAAGATAAGTCGTAGTTTCCATCCGACAATCCAAACTGTTAAATTCTACGGAACATTATTTCGGGAATTTGAATACCATACCAAAAAAAAAAAACACTTTTACTTTGTGTGATGTTCGTGTATACTGCAATTATCCGGTTTATTTTTCAACTTTTCGCTCATTTTCCTTACCTCCTATCGGCTTTAGTGCGTTTTTTGAAACAGAATACCTATATTTGCTACAGTCCCAATTCTTTTTTTATTCTTCAATATAGTCCCTTCTGCTCAGAGTTCGTACAGTTCTTTTCTTTTATTTTTTTGTTTTCACGAGAATTGTTCTAGGTGCGAATTCTTCGGCTGGATTTCCCAATGAATACTACATTTTTCTGCAGTAGTTACAACTGCTTTATATTGATTTCTGAGCATTAGTCCGACGGTTCAGTACAGTTCGCAATTCATAGAGACTTTTCGTGGAATCACTCAATGTATTGACCATTCAGTATTTTATTTTCCTCTTTGTTGATCTTACACAGCCATCGTCGGAAACAGTCTATACAGTTATAATATTTGGAAAGGCGTTCAGCAGATATCATTTTTTTGCAACAAGAATGGTTTTCTATTTTCTTTATATTATACGCTAGAGCCATTTAAGTTAAGCGTTAATGACTGAAGAATTTAAATCAGCGGTGGCAAATGCTTTACTAAATATCCATATTCATCACAAAGGAAATTACTTTTTAACGGAGATGATCACAGACTTCACTATACTAACGGTATTTTCCGTGGTATATCATATTCAGGTTTTATTTCTAAGAAGTATCAAACCGTTGTAACTTAGTGACGCTGATCTTATTCATATCGAACTTTTCATGTTTTGTCAGTTGAATTTAGCAGTACTTTTTTGAAGTCTTGTGAACATGAACGACTTGTTTATCTTATAAAAAAAAATTCACGGTGATTTTTCTAGAGATGAATCTATGCAGAAATGTATAGAATTCTTTTATTATGTCGTATCGTTTGTTATGTCATTAGTAACATTCATTACTAAAACTGTTTCGAAATGGTTTCAGGATTATACTACTCTTCCGGAACATGTAAGAGGTTATTCATGACATTTGGTTCACAATTATCTGCTCCAAAAAACATAAGTTGTGGAAATTTAGTATTAATTTCAAACTGTTTTCACTTCTTTATTTACTCTTGGAACATCAGCATTTTTTTTATTTTGAATATAGCTAAAGCATATTTTGAATATATATCTAAAGGTCGAGTATCTTTCAACTCTTGAAGAGTCGACTGTTTTTCTTTAGTGCGAAATCTGTTATTTGTTCGCTTAAAATTAGCGACATTTGTTTCAACCTTTGAAATTTTGTTAAATTAAAATACAAAGCAAGGTAGAATTACTGAATTTTCAATAAGTCCCCAAGTTCTCAATAACTCAGCAGCGCTAGTTGATAGATGATCAGTATTACATTAAATCCTTGGTACTGGCGCTATAGGAAATGATTTGCAGTCTGCATCCATCCATTTGTTCACCTGTTGCTGTGTCATTATGATAATGGTCACTTGTTTATGATTTATTTGATTCATTAGTATCAGCAGAACTCCCTGACATTTTGGGAACTATCACATCGTAACCCTAAACGAATCAATTATCAGTGTTTTGGTTTGGTTAGCGGTCTCTGTCTGTTAGCATGAATCGGTGGAAGTGGAAAGGGAACTTTACAGGAAACACAATTAACACAGTTAACAAAGGTGGGATGAAACAAAGGGTTTGTCTACGTTCTTTCGATGGAAGTCGGAGAGTGCAACTATGATAACTTGCACTTAATAGGAACTATGTTTAGCATCTTTGTCTGACCAACAGCACTTCTTACATAAGAGCCAGGTGGGAGTATTATATTATTATAAACATAACTTTATACAATTTCAGGTGATTAATACGCTTCCTCCTTATTCAATTTAAAATCACATTTCTCTTTCCTGTCAGTTATTATTGAATGAAGTAATGAAATGTATTCCTCTTTAGATTCAAGATGGATAATATGAGAAGATGAACTTATGTGCTTTTTCGGATCAGTTATTCAGCGATCAGTCAAAATTACTTGGGTTTACCATTCAGCAATACTCAGTATATCATTTCATAAGTCAACAAAATGATTTGTAAGCAGCTGTAATAAATATTTTGCGCAGTAAGAATGGTTTAACAATTTAGTGACACACTGTAGAAATAATCGATGTGTCTTATTTTTTATTACTCGGGTTTACCAAAATACTGCATATGTAGAGAAGAGCTCTGAAGAAATTCATTTCAACTGTTTGTGCTCACAAACGAGGGAATGGTGTTGTCCAAAGTTTGTAGATGGCAATTATTAGTGTAGCAATTAATCGATAAGCACTGATGGGACGGAAGTTAGAAAGGGACTAATAATATAGGAGAGATATCATAGATGACATAGTAATGAATAATTGAGTGACCATGACCCGTCGATAGCCTTATAAATCGTCCATAGTTCATCTTAACTATACAGCATGCAGCATTGATTTCCTTCCCATCAAACGCTTCTTGCAGTCTATTTCATGTCAATTCAGCACCAAATCCTTTGTTCCATGCAACACATTTTATGTACGATGATGTTTGTTTTGTTTAGCAAAAAAATATAGTTGATCAATATGGGAGGCTTCGAGACGCGAAGCGAAGAAGCATGTGAAAGGTTTGCAGGTATGCCTTACGTCCTTGTCGATGGGCATTGTGCTTTATTTCTGCCTTACAACAACAAGAAAATTGTCTTGAAGAATAGTCGAGTCAGGTATTTTCGAACTATGTCCGGCTTATCCCGCTACCAAAGCGCGTGCTCCTGTAGATGGCTAGATATTAGCTTCCCACTTCTCAGAAAGTGTGAGGAGAGAATGTTATCCATGGTTATAACTCTGCTGTGCATTTTTTTCCGACTTCTGTCTCACTCAGTGCCGTCTTCGGAGAACTGGTGCCTGAAATATTTCCTTTACCCATTTACAGATCTGCATTGTTGTTTATGGATTGGTTTTTTATGTAACTTGTGTGCATATCGTTGCATGTGAGGTGTCATCACCATGAAGAGGTACTTTTACAGATTTGAATTTTAGGTTCACTTCGAAATGAAATTCGATGAATTGCTGTTCACTAACCTAGGTGAATTTGGTCGTTATCAAAAGATACAATTTATATTGGTATGCTTGCCAATCGTATTCGTTTCCATGCATGCACTGTCATGGACATTCAGCGCTGCCTCTGTTCCGCATAGGTTTGTATTTTCTTTTACTAAAAATTTTATACTGTGAAAGCTGTCTCAAAAGTAAGCTTCCAGAAAATTCACAGTTGAATTTGAAAAGGCAAAATCAATACATGAATTCACTTTTAGCGCTTAAAAAGCTGCGCATCGACATAACATTTTCCACTTAGATACAAAATTAATCTACTTGACAGTTTTCGAGAAACCTGCCGTTGCTGGGTAAGTTTTCAGGCATTTACTAAGTAAATGCTAAAATTTAAACAAAATCGCTCCTGAGAGCAGAAAAAATCTGACATGTTTTGCATAAGTGTGGGAATTTCGAAAGTGAAAAAGAAA